GACCCATATTTGGTAGCAATAATTGTTTACTCCCTTCTGCTCTCTCCCTCAGCCTTGCTGCTGAGAAGGGGAGGGGACATATTTTTGGCATCTTTAGCTTTGACGGAGCCCACGCGTAAAGGGTCCAAAAACCTCCCTGCAGACCATGGTGTGAAACCTCCCAAAGTGCTAAAAGAGCAAGCAACTGTGTGGCGAGCACCATCCGAGTGATCAGCTTGCTCGCCCAACAGCAGTGACTGGAGCTTAGAGCATCCTGAAGTGGCATGTCCTGGTAGATTTGGGGAAGGGGAACAGGATGGCTGGGGAAGAGGGAACTGGGACCTGTGAGGTGCCCTCCTTTTTTGGAGCTGAGCTTTGCGGACTGCTGGGTGGAGATGTGCCTCCTGAAACATGACTGCTCTCCTTTTGCTTTCCCGTTTCTTTCTGTCTGGTGGCATGGTGTCAGGCAAGAGGTGTGCCCTGGCAAACATGGGTGCCCGAGCTGGGGCACCTGGTGTTCTCTGGAGTGCCTGCCGCACCCTGAGCACTGCTTTTGGGGTGCTGTGCTGAAGGGCCAGCTTGCTAAGTACACAGAAGAGGCTGTGGACAGAGGGGCCAGCCAAGTGCCCTGTGCCCTCTTCCTTGCTCTCCCAGTGCCTGCTTTGGCAGTGGGCAGCTCGGGGCTGACACCATTTGTGCATGTTCCCTTTAGGGCATGCCTTAGGATGTGTGGGAAATGCTGTCACCACCCCATGTTCAGAACAGCTTCACTCGGGCCTGGGCAAGCTTGCAGGCAGGCTGGGGCTGTGGTCCTCCAGCCCTGTTCCCTGCTCCCTGTCTCCTGCACTGAACAAGGCTCCTCTCCATGTGAGGCAAGAGCATGCCCCTGCCCCAGCCATGGGCAACAGACGGCTGGTTGCAGGGGTGTGGTGAGTCCCGGGGTGGGCTCGCTGGCTGCGTGTGCTCCCCAGGAGCAAGCTTCAGCTCAGCTGGAAGAAAGCACCTTTCTGTCTGGCAGAGGCGTGTGGCTGGGAAAGAGGAACTGGGCTGGATGATTTCAGCAGCGTGCAGCACTGTCACCGGCCAGGCCTGCTGGCTCAGCCTTCCCATCGGCATTGGGCTGAGCCACCCGTGCCCTGTCTGGTCCCGCCTTTTACTGGGTTAATTTTTGATCTGGTTCGTTGCGCTGTTGTGCAGACTCCAGTGTGCTGGCAAAGCCATTGCCACGGCCTGGTACCTGCCTGGCTGGGCGAGCAGCCCTGTGCCTGCAGAAAACCCCAGCACTGGGGTGGTTAGCAGCTGATAAAGCTTCCTGCAGCCATCTCTCAGTACAGGGGTGGTCCGGAGCGGGGCCTTTCGCAAGTAAAGTTTGGCACTGCCTT